CCTAAAAACGGCATCAATGACAAACAAAAACACCAAGACGAAAACACTGCAATAAGTTAACACAAGTTAACATAAGTTAGCATAAGTTAACATAAGTTAACATAAGTTGACTAAAAGGTTAACTTAAGTTAGTAACTTCTATATCTTCCTACCAACTTTCTAATAACTTCCCCCAAGTTAGCAGGGACTTACTACATGGATAACCAAGATGTAAGGGTGAATCCCCTGCCTCCGCTCCAGTTAGGAGTTGCCGCGCCACTGCGTAAAATGCATTGCGGGCATCGACAAAGAGCAAGCCAGCGCTCACGCCGGCTTGCAGGGCTTTCCTGGCCAAGCCTCTGCCATTGAAGACTGAAAAGGATTTCCGGGTCTGGACCCCCCTTGTCCCACCGTCCTGGTCCGCTCAAGGGCCTGAAGAAGCGGCGTGCGTACGGCTTTACAGACGCCTTTCATTGTAGCCTCATGCAAAATGATCGAGCGCCATGCCGCTGTGCTTGTTGGAACTTTTCCAGGTTTGGGAATCGGGCACGCTCGGCCGCCCCTCCAAAGGATGGGGGCTCTGCCCCTGAGCTGCACCTTAAGAGCCAGTGGCTCAAGGACCATAGCAGCTCCCACAGGATCCGCGCGATAGGCCTCGCACGGGAGCCCGGCAACTCCAGGTGCTTTGCCTGTCTGCAGCTGCCCAAAGCCTCTGGTGAGAGCAGCGATGGACATGTCCGCGCCGACTTCAAGAATCTCCGTCGACCTGGGATGGCCTCTGTATGCACATCCTGTAGCGCACATTCGACAGCTCGCTCAGCCTGGGCAAAATGGCGTCCCAAGATTAACAGCGAGTCCCCATCTCCAGCACCCTCCAAGGACGGTTGAAGGGGCGGCGGCTTGTATCGCCTACCTTGCCTGGTGACCTGTCGAATGGCTTGGTAAAAGGCCTCCGGACCTTTAAGCCTGGCATCCTGCATGGCCTTCCTGGCAGCCGCCGCGGTGTCAAGCTTGGCTCCAGCCCTTATGGCCCTAGACAGATCTGGGAGCTGGATGCTCAGCAAGGCCTCGTAGTGACGGGCAAGGCAGTCCCAGGTCGCCCTGGGGGCGGAAGTCTGGCCCCGAACTGCAGCGACCCAACCATGGAAACACCCAGCAAGCTCTGCGGCTCGGCCTCGTTGCTTGTGCAGATGCCTTAACTCCCTCCTGTCTTTAACCAAGGCCCATGTTTGGGTGCTGATGGCTAGGGACCTGGACGCCTTGGACTGACGGGGAAAATGGCAGCTGAGACCCTTCATTAGATGCTCATTGAGGCGTTGAAGATGAGAATCAACATCCTCTTCCCAGGGCACCTGGCATGGTGTCGAAGATATGCCGAATCTTACGCGCGCCTTCTTCTGACACCAGCTCGGGCGTTGCTTGGCTGCACGACCCCCTTGTACCCAACTGAGCCTTGCCAACACGGGCTTGTGGTCAAAATCGGAGTGACCGTAAAATTCGTGGAGGACCCCTAAGGTTTTCATGCCAGCAGCCGCCCCAGAAGGGCACGCGATGTAGTCAAGACACCTAGGTTTGCCCAAATAACCTGCCCAGCTCTCAACCTTGATGCCCTTGGCAGTGACATTAGGGGCGGCGGTCAGACCATGGTCAGCAAGCACTTTCGCGAATCTGCGGGCATTCTCCTCCTCGGCAGAAAATATGGATGGCGGCGTCGGCTTCCACGCGAAGTGTGCGTTGGCATCAGCAAGTATGATTAACACATGCTGAGGAGGAACACGTTGGATGATCCGGGAAACCTCACCCCACCATTCAGCAATGTCAACCTTGGGAGCCTTGGCCGTCAACGCATGGAGGGAAAGGAAGGCAAACTTGAGACTGCCTGCGACCGCCGTAATCAGGAGCTGCCTGGGGCTGGCGAAGAGGATGGAAAACCCAGCCGGGTTCCAGTAGAGCTGTCTCTCAGCATGCAGAGCAAGGTGCTTAGAAAGCCAGATTTGGCACCCCTGCTGGCCCCGAGCAGAGGGCCCGCTAAGCACGTGATAGTGTTGGGTCTGGCCCCGTGGCTGAGGATCTGCCCTAGTCTCTTGCAGTCCGATAACCCCAACCTTGGCACGTGCGAGATTTGCGCTGCAGGGTGCTGGCACACGTCAAGCAATTGTAGGTAGCAACTTTGAAGTCGACATGTATCTGTGCCACATGCTCCCCTGCCCGGAAATCAGCGCATTGGCTCAAGTCAGGCCCGCTCTGTGTCCTGTCAGTATCAAGCACAACATCCAATTCCGTAGGCGGCGGCAGCTCCGCTCTCATTCGGCATGCCGCCCAGAGCCATGGCAAGACCCCATCCTGCATAGACTC